GCTTTCTTCTTCTGGTCTAATCCTCAGAATTGTTTGCAATAATCTATACTGACATTGGTGAGCAATTAGCACCGCGGCTGCCTCTGTGCGGGGATAAGAGCCGGCGGCCGGCCCGCCCTCCGGGGGCAGCGAGGCCCTGCCCAGGCGGGCGGGGAGACGCTCGGTCCTACTGTGTACAGCACTGACCACAACAAAGCCCGTGGTTTCTCCCACACTGGCCTTAAATGGGTTTAAATTAATGCTATTCATCCCAGGGTGGAAAGGAGACCAGGCCGGAGGGCTGGGGAGCCCGCTGCTCCCGCTCCGCCCCTCAGCTCCCTGCACGGCCTGCCGCCCACCCAGGTGCGGGCTGGCTGTCCCTGTCCTGACGGGGGACTGCGCCCACCCGCAGGCTGAGCCAGACACGGTCCCCGGGGTGACCGCCTCATTCACCTCGAGCTTGTTGGCTGCTAGTGCTATTTTTGAAGAGTTAAAAGACAAATAAAAATTTCTTAAAAACCGTGTATGTGGCACAAAATATAGCCTGAGCCTTGAGATGAGACTTGGAGTTTGAGACAGAAGGACACTTCCTGTCTTACTCAACTCTTAACGTCACCGTATGGTCGCCTTACCCCTCTTTCTCCAAACGCACCTTGCCACAGCCAGCGATACAAACCAACTAGCTGACTTTCTGCCTGGGAGCTTGTTAAGACACTGAAAAATTTTAATCCGACAATGCATCGTCCTAGACTTGCACATGTAAACACACACACACACACACACACACACACACACACTAACAGAACACACTGGTGTTTTATCCTTCTAATTTTTTAAAGTTTTTATTAGTCCATGTCTGTAACACACATGTAGGTTTCCTGTGTGGAGCTGGCACATGCATACAATGCATCTTATTTTTAGATAGGCAATGTTCTTCTATACTAATACAAAGCTTACCTAAAAAGGCATTACAATTAAACATAAAATTATAAACCCTGACAATGTAACAGATTCCTGTTTAAAAATATTGTAATGACTTTTCTATCTGCACTAACCTTATCCAAAGCAAGTCTCCCCAGTGCCCAGGCAGCACTCTGGGTGCAGCCCGGGCATGCATGCGCACGCGCAGACACTCCTCACTTACACCTGCTCTGACGCAGTAGGAAGTGGGCTCTCGATCTGCCAACACGACCATCTGGCGATCTGCACATCGTGCTTTCTCTGTCACTGTATAAAGGAATGGGAAGCACGAAGCCAAAATAAAACCACGCCTCACCTCCACGGGAGCGCCTCTCTCGGTTGGAATAATATGTGGCGTATCAGAGCAAAAGTAGCAGCGATCTCACTAATTTAAAATGAGCTTTCCTGGTGGCATAGCTACGTGAACAATGTGGCATAGTAACATGGCAATCGGTCAGATTGCCACCCAGGTACTGAGTGTCTGAGAAACTGCAACAGCCTTTTCCAGGAGCGACGGGCCCTCTGGTGCTCCTGGGCCGCGCAAACCCCAGCAGGAGTGAAGCAATCAGTAATCCCTGCAATCAGTAATCCCTGCGTTACAAGGCCAGTGTGCTGGGGCTCCCCGCCCCCCCTTAGAACAGGCAGTCTTCCTGCCATGAGGGCAGTGATTCACTACCCTGACTAAGCAAGGGTTGCAGTAGTTACTTGCTAAATTCTGGTCACGGATCAGGCTTTCCAAGTGAATTTTAAGATGGCTACAAATACCCCCAATCTTAGGAGATTCCACGCCTCCCAAAACTGAAGATATTCATTGCGATTTAGCATTTGGGCCCAAGGCCACTTGAAAATTAACACAGGCTTTGGGTGCATTACGTGTAATTCCAGTTGTTTAATTTTAGTTTTTAAATGTTGCCACATAGCTGCCTCAGGGCTTGCCACCCCACAGGTAGTCACTACCCAATATAAATAGTGACAACATCATTCTGTGACATCAATACAGCAATCTAGCTCCATCCAAGATGCAAGCCCTTAAAAGTGATAGTTCTTACAAACTCAACAACCAGACTGTGAATCCTTCTAGAAAGTGCTTACATTACTGGGAGTCATACAGAAGCAGTTTCAAAACAGAAAAAACGCTCCAGAAAGTTCTCGGTTGAGTGACTACTAATGAACAAAGGTTAACTTTATCTAAAAGGTCAAATGCCTGGTGGCTAAGGTTATGACCTTAACAACTTAAATTGTGACCTTGCCACGTGCCAGGCATATCGTAGGTTCTGATACAGATCATCCACTAAAGGCTGGCTATAAATTAGCTTTACTGTTCCATGCCCACAAAGAAGACCGTGTGCCGCACACCACCACATCTCATCATCGTATTATACGTGGGAAGGACAACACAAAGACAGACCAGCGGAGGGGCACAGGACCGTTTTTTTCTTTTAAACTTGTAACAAGTTGAAATGCTTAGGCTCAAGGGATTCCTCCCATTTCACCACACTTGCTCCTGCCCATCAGGCACAAAATTCACATAATTCTAATACCAATGGATTTGAGGGGAAAAGTTGGAATGTAGTTTATTATCATATGTTTGCCTTTCAATAAGCCTTAGAATAATTCTCCTCTGCTTGTAACAAGATGACTTATTTTACATCTGCTCCTCTCAGTGTTCAAGAAGGTTGTAACTTCCTACCCAAGAAAACCTAAATACATGATGCCGTAATGATTATGCACATGCTCAGAAAAGGCCAGATCTCTGTGGCCATGGGGGGGATGCAGAAAGAAAACTATATCTATAAAAGAAAGATAAAACTTAGCCATAGGTGAGGAGGCCTCAGTGCTTTTGGCATGCACCTTGAAACACGTCTCAGAGGCTCTGTCTCCTGCCAATACTGGCGAGTTATCAAAACTTTTAAGGAGGTAAAAACATAGTTTAGTGTTTACAAATCTTCAGCATTATAACGGACGCCTGTCAACTCAGTTGTATGTATGCTGACCTATTTATATTGGCAGCTTCCCTTCCACAAATCACAGCTCTCTAAATCTCCTAAGTCAAAACCGAAATACTTCAGACAAAAGGCCCTTGCAACGCTTTGCAACCCTGCCGCGGCGCATGCAGACAAGCTGCCAGGCCCACGGCTCTGTGCAGACCAAGGCGGGACCCCTGTCTGGTTCCCTCTCCTGCCACATCGGGAAAACCACGTCAAAGGCAGCTGATCCATGCTGCTGTCAATAAATCCTCTTTCCTTGGCAATAAGGATGCCGACACCACCCCTTCGGGTGTCACAACAACCCGCAACTGTTAGCTCAAGGGCTCGGAGCAACAGCACAGTAAAAAGCCAGCCATGAGGAGCCACAACACCTGCACAGGGACAGCTAGAGAGGGGGCATTTCCTTCCACTGAGGGAAGCGTTCTCGTCCAAACATGATGGGCCCTGCTCCTGCCGACAGAAGCAACGTAGGCCCGCTGTCTGCGAGCTGTCTTGTAAGGTTACATGCACGCAGCCTGCGTCACCTGTTGGTAAACTCGAGTTTTAGCTTGGCCATTTAGCGCACTTGTGGTAACTTATAAGTAATTTTTCTAAATATTCAAGAGATAAACACAAGATTTGAAAAAGAGACCCTGAAAGTCCTTGTGACACCAGTACTTTTTCTGCACCCTGATGCACTGAGAAAAGCAGATAAATTAAAACATTAAATTGTTGTCATAGATAAAACAAATGAATGGTGTGCTAACAGTGGGTTATAGAAGGGCTGCTTGCTCCCGTTTTGAGATATTTTTCAAGGTGCTGCTTTTTATTTTTGCTACTCAGAACTGGGCTAAAGCAACAGGCACTTATAATTAAGTATACATGTTCAAAAACCCAAATATTTGAAACGCTTACAGAGCACATCTTCTAAAATACTCATCTATCCCCTGCCAACGGAATGCAAATGACGATGTGACGTGCTTGCAAAGTTAATTTTTCCAGTTTCTTAAGTAAGGACAGATGGCTAACAAAGCTCACTTTCTAAATCATATACTGAAAAAATAATAGAAAATACAGCTGACATCTTTAAAAAATAGCTAACAGTTTTAAAGTTTAAAACATTTTTGCAAAACAGTGCAGTGTAAGCTTTACAGGTGGTATCTATTCTCTCCTCAGTGAAAAAAAGAAAACATACCCCAAAATGACCTGCTAAAGGCTGCTACAGCTACTTTCTTCCATCTGGCTCAAGTGACCGCCATGAGCACAATCTAGCAGGACCCAAGTATATGTATAAAAGTCAACAAGCTACACAAGACTTGAGTCTTCGCGTAACACAATGAGCCTTTTGTCTACAGCAGGACAAAAGGAACGAAGTAAAATGCATTATTCTGCCCAGGTCTCAACAGCATTGTCCCGAATGCCGAAACACGCACAGGGAAAACATGCTCTAGAAACAATAATTAATTTTATTTTTAAAAAAATCAAAGCAGCTCACTGCATCAGTTACCAATAGCGATTTCTCAGCATGCTGGTGCACTATCAGGCCAGGTTTTTTTTTTCCTCTTTTCCCTCCTTTGACGATTTCAAAGAGTTTAGTTTTTAGTTCTGTCTTCTTAACTGTTTGAGACGATGCTAAGAATTCCTAAATACAAAGTTACTAATCTTGTGGATTAGTGTGATTGTCTTCCCTTCAGAAATGATCAGCAATTGAATAGTAATCTTACTCCAACTTCTTAACCGGCAGGATATTCACAAGGCCTAGGTAGGTTAAAAGCACTCCCAAGAGAAACTCAACTAGAAAGGCTGCCTCACTACCAGACTACAGGCTCTTTCACTAGACTGATGGTCAGTTCAATACTCTTTGTGACATGGGTTTCATCGAGGTTGTTTACAACGCCTCGCTGTCTAACCACCTGCCCTTGGACAGCTCCACTTACCAGGGGCCTGAGCCTGCGAGAAGCCGTGGCTCTGGGTTTCCACCTAGGCCCGGCCTGTCTCTGAAGCCACATGGCTGTCGAGACTCAGCCTGCACCTCACTCAAGAATGTGCAGCACTCCAAGCGGAAGGAACTCCGGCCACCGCCACTGCACTTACCTGCCGCGTGTACGAAGTAGGCCAGGTACAGGTCCAGCTCCTTGACGGACACCCCTATATGGTGGGGCTGCACGCAGAGCCCCGGGTTTGAGCACTGTGGGGACTTCACGAGGCGCTCACCATCAGTACTTTCCAGCGGGATGCCCTTAAACAAGATGACCATCACCAGGTCCAGCCTCCAGACCTTGTCGGCCTGGCGCAGGCAGTCGATCCTCCGCATCTTGCCCTTCTGGTCTGGGTTGGAAAGCACGCAGCACGGGGGCTTCTTCCCCGTGACCGTGAGCACGAAATCCTCCCGGTACTCGGGCCGGATGTCCTTGCGCAGCTTGGCCAGCAGCCGCGACGCCCACTTCTGCTTGACCTCTGGCTTCTCGCTCAGCAGCTCGTCCTTCACGGCCCTCTCCTCCTCCTTGGACATGCGCTTCTCGTGCTTTTTGAAGTACTTTCGCTTCCGGGCCTGCAGGTTGAACCACGTATAGGCGAAGGCGCGCACGTGGGGCAGAAGTGCTTCGATGAAAGGGTGGAACTCATCCTGCAGACAGGGAGGACAGCAGAGCCGTGAGGAGGGGCGCAGGAGGCCCTGGCGAGTCCCCAGCCACCCAGCATTCCCCGGTCACACATGACACCCCGCAGGGGAGTGAGAGCCAGGCGACACACACATCAGCATCGCTTCTCACCGTCTGGAAGACAGCAACTGCCAAAATCCAAGAATGTTCGATTGATAAGTTTGCCAAAGCCCCCCACTTGGCCTGGTCTCCCCGACAACGAGTGAAGCTGATCTAGATGTTTCTTCTGCCAGCCCAGCCCTGCCCTCGGTCCCACTCCCGACCTCGGCATTTGCACCCAGCTGGGCCAGGCCGCCAGGCTGGCACACGCAGGCGCCAAGACAGCAGCCGATGTTTAGGAAGGCCTGGAAGCAGAAACGGCCGGCCATCAAGGCACTCAGGGCTTCCCCCTGAAAATATCACTGGGACCTGGGATGTGTTTCTTCCTCACTCTGCCACACCTTGTTTCTTCCTTTAAACATTGTATTTGCACGGAATCTGTTATTGGCCAAAGAGTTAAAACATTTTGGCAGATCCTTATACAAATGAAAGGAAGAATTTTATACTCATTAGATAAAAATGAAGAATCTATGTCCGGAACACAATCTTTCACACTATGGGACTGAGATAAAAAGGAAAACAAGGCAAAGCAAAGGGCACACGCAGACAGCGTCACAGTGACGACAGTGCCGCGCTGACTGCACCGCGCTTGGCGGCTGGTGCGCTGAGACGCCTCAGTGCTGACCACCCCTAAAAAGGGGCAGTCTAAGTTGTAGAAATATATCTCAGCTTTTTCTCATAAGAAAACAGACAGACTGGCCGTTTGATGTGAGTCCCCAGTAAGCCCTCACAGATAATTTGGAAATAACATTGAAATTAAAGTTTTTCTTCCTGTTTTACCCAAATTATTTGATTCTCTTGTTGACATTTGGTTAGAACATGTAAAAATAAAAAAATTACACAGAAAACTCCATCAGGCCTCCAGAGCACGTCTAACTTTTGATTAACTCACCCACAGTAATCTTACATAACTTCTTTCTGCCACATAACTCCCTCTTCAAAGATAAATTATTTACCTTCAAATAAGTAGAACAAGAAAATCAAAGAGCTATTTGATGGCTTTCTAAAAAAGAGTACATAGGACAAATACAAAATGCTGTTTTCTTCAAGATAATACTAAATACATACTTTTTAGGTATATGTATGTGTCAGAAATAGTACCATTACATTAAATATTAAATTGCTTAAATTCAACTGTAAACTTAGAAAGTAAAATTGGTAAAATATTTTAATAGTCAAGTCTGTTAAAATGTTACAAATTATAATCAATCATCTAAGCACCACACAGAACCTTTTAAATTGTATATTGATATCACATATAATAAATCACTGCAATAATTGACACTTAGTTTTTTTCCTCTCTGTACCAATTCTTGGGTCTATGTTTGAAGTTTAGCTTTGAAAATGCTCCTTTTTCAATAAAAGAACCCGTAAGAGAAATAGCCAGCTCTCCCAGCAAGCATTCTTCAAGTGGAGGAAGAAAAGAGAAAGCACCACAAGAATCACATTCCTCTTTACTACAAGCCATTAGCATTTTTAATTTTTTCTGATGTTTCAGAATCTTTCTTATTCCCATATTTGCAAAGAAAGAACTGAGGGACAAGCCACAGTTGATGTGCTGAGCGGCATGCCAAGCCACAAAACACGTATCACTAAATTCTGAGCTCATCTTTAAGATGCGAAATACCTAAGTCTTAAGTTTGAGACGGTGCTCACACAGACGCCTTCACATGCACACTGGACGCGAGGGGGACCCACGCTCCGTGGCATTCTGCAAAGAACTCCTGGAACCCCCAACTCCACAGAGTAACCAGCAAGGGGAGACCTCGCTTCACAGCCTCTGTGCCTTTTCACAATGTCAACAGCAGCGTGGCTCCAACTTGTCCACATCTATGCTAAAACACTACCTTATTTAAGAGCATTATTAATAATAACCATTTTAGGTAAACATCACAATGCGGCACTTTCCACGTCCAAAGGTACCCTCAAAACGCTTCTCTAGGAGCTGGGACCATTCACCGGAGTTCTGAAACATGTATTTACCTGCCGACCAAAGTCCCATGTCTCCCATCATGAAAATCTGTAAATGAGGTCAACTATGTCAGCCAGCCATTAAGAATAACCTAAGCCCCCCACTTGGCATCAAAAGTGTTTGTAACATATCATTCCCCAAAGACTTCTAGAGTGTGCCAACAGAAGTACACAGTATTTTGGAAAACTTTACTCAAATGCACAATCTCAGCACTAATTTTTTTTTAAATATATTTTTCTCAACTCATGATGAGAAATACTCCACAACAGCGATGTGAGGATATCATTAGGTTGTAGGAAATGTCCAGGGACAGCATAAGTGATGGGAGGGTATTATGTCCTTATAAATCATGCTGTTGAACAAACCACCATCAGCTACGTAGCATTTCACAATACTCAGAAAACACAAAGAATATATTACACGGCAAGAACGATACAGGTCACCAATAAAAATAAACCCCAAAACCTGTTCCAAAGTGGCTATTACTTTGAATCAGAACATTTTAAATGTTGATCTGTTTGAAAGAAAGCCAAGTTTACCAGCCGCGGAATAGTGGTATTTCTAGACTCTACTTTTTTTTTTTAAGGTTCACCTATAAATTTCTGCTGGGTTATCGTTGTACAACCAGGTACATGGTTTAGTTATGATCTACACCTTCTGGGTTAAAGTAAACTGTCTGTATTTTCCTGGTAAAGTTTTTAAAAATTACATACAAGTATCTGAATCTATTCTTTCATGTCAAGCACTTCTATCACTGTGCTTGCTAGTCTTTTTTTAGACGAACAATAATCAAAGTTTTTCTTTCTAAAATCTGGCTTTAAAGTGTTACAAATACTCCAGAAAATTAAGGTAATTTATAAATCAATTTCTAAATGAACCCCCTTTAAAATAAGATTTCTTGAACATTTTTTTACTACAAACTGTTAAACCAAATATAAACGTTCCAAGGCCTAGTGAATGCACATGCATCGCTACCAAATATGTAGGAGTTTAAAAAAAAAAAATCTTTGTTAGCATGCTAGTAGCTGCAGAAACAGGAGGAGCCAGCCCTATAGCCCCTGTGCTGGGCCTGCAGAGTGCAGGTACCCTCCGTGTGCAGGCCCCCGAAAGCCAGCTTATCCCCTTGGCCCCTCCAAGGGACACGGGAGCATCTGCCGGCCAGCTCCCTGTCGCAGCACGCTGCTATTATCTACAAGTTCTGCGTGTTGCAAAGTTTAGCCAGCGACAACTTCAGCCTGCGAATCTCAGCGTTCTCACTGCAGTCTTTTAATTCATTCAAATGATCCTAACACTTTGCATCTTATCCATATGCAATTGTGAACCTCGCCAGAAGTGGTTGGAAAAGTTTCATTTCATACTTCCAGAAGTTCCTAAAATAGGAACTTTGCAAGTTTGTTAGGGAAGGGGGGGAACTTTTACAATAACTAAAAACAACTGCTTTCCATTATTAATGCTAGGCCTAAATCCCAAACAGACCATTTCGACATAAAAGATCCATTTAGGAGTCCTCCGAGATCGGATCGCCGGTGCTGCTGCAGTTCGGGATTGCAAAGAGCAGGGTGTCAGAGGGGAAAGGAGTCCGCGATCCCGAGCCGAGAGCAGCCGCCGCTTGCCAGCCTGCCCGGTCCCGGGGTAAACCGTTATTTCACGCCCAGGCAGCGGGTCTGGGCAGCGGTGAGCCGCCTCGCGTGGAGCCCACAACTTCGCGTGGCGACTCGCAGTCGGTCAGGGCGCGGGGTACAAAGCGGGGTGCGGGCTGCACTTTCTCTTCCCAAGGACTCAGCACATCGGGCAGAGGAAATAAATAATGCACGCGGCGGCGGGGACCAGATTTGGGGTTGGCGTGGCCTGCGCCCGCGGCCGGGCGGCCGTCCCGCGTGGATCCCACGCCGCCTCCCGCGCTGCGGGCCGCGTCTCCTGCAGGCCGCGCGGGACCGATCCACGGCGCGGCGCGGGGCCCGCGGCCGGGGAAGTTGCACGGGGGCACCGCCAGCCTCGCGTGGACGCCGCACCCCGCGCCCCGCTTACCTGCGTGAGGCAGAGCGGCGAGTACATCCTGCGGCCGCGGAGAGGGAGCCGAGCGGCGCTCACATGCCGCCGCCGCCGCCGCCTTCGCCGCCGCGAACTTTCCCCACCGGCGCCGCCCGCCC